AAAACTTCATTTCCCAGAATGCCATTACATCCTGTGAGTTGTGGACAATTCCATTCAAATTCTAACTTATGAAATGCAAATCAAGTTAAAGGAATAGCTCACCTTGCTGGTCCACATGGGGGGGGGGACACTATGCAAGTCAAGGGGGACCAGCAACTGAAGGTGAACTATTCCTTTAATGACACCAAATTGGTCACAATCATGCACAAAAGGTATTTAAGTTTATGTGTGTGTGTGTGTGAATAGGGTATTATCACTATAGCAGAATTAATGAAACGACATTCATTAGAATACTCCTTTGCACTTCCTCTCATGTATGCGTCAATGAATTCTGGTCTCAGCATATTTGTATAGCTGCAGTAAAAAAAAGCTATAAATGCAAATAAAAACACAACACTTGTTACTAGATGTCTGGAACAACTCTTTCAGAGTACTTGCAGTACATTTTATTCATTTATTTTAATTAAAACTCAACATGCACAGGTGTTTGATATTTCTTTAACTGAATAAATGCTCGTTCAGTGTCAGTAACAAACAAACAAAAACAAAAAAACTGTTATCAGTTTGCTTTCTAAAAATGACCAACATTCCCAATGGACACAAACAAATAAAGTTTGCTTTTTTATAATTAAAAGGAAAAATATGATAAAAACGGTATGAAACACTAAAAATAAAATAACTAATATTCACAGCAAAGGCTTGAATATGCAGAAAAATCTACGGAATCACGTGTAGGTCACTGAATCTTCAACAGCACTCTTCTCCATGTCCAGTGATAAAAGGAAGTTTACTTTGCTGTTCAAACATCATGTTTACAAAGTTCATTTACTATTCATTGCTTTTTCCGTAGAGTTGAATTGCCATTATAGTGTCATTCATTCTATAGGAAATGTAAACAGCATTTTATGATAGACAATCTTAAAACTGGTCCTCTCATTACCAAGAGCCTTTCCACAAACGGCCCTCCAGTGGGAAACAAATTAAAACACGTTCTTTAAGCAATCATAAACAGCTATAATATCACTAATGCAAGTTTAAATAGATGCTCTGTTTATTATAAACAGATCCAG